CACAATTGCCAGGGTAAATTTGTAATCCCACATTTAGTCAGACATTCATTTACAATCTACCTGTACACAGACTTCTGTAAATGGCAGTGTGATTTTATTCCCTCCCCCCAAAATTCATTTTACTTTGGTAAACGCAGGGTAACGAAAACTTTTTAAAATTTAACAGAATGATGTGTTTCTCATTCCAGAAACCGCCTGTCTATACCACAGCCTACTTATTCCCAGGCAGAATTTAATCACCACCAGGGTGAACAAAGTTAAACGTCTCCATTCCGCTTTAATATTCTGCTTTAACTGAGCAAAGAGACCCGAGGTGTGACCAAAGGAACAACGGCTACCCTGCAGCAAAAGGTTCGGCTCCGTCGATCGCACCAAAAACACGAGCCATGTCCCCCTCCGGATCCATCACTGCGGCTCAGTGACAGCTTCGGACGGAACGTAGCCTCCGTGGGCCTTTCACAACCTTCAAGCCACGGGGGATATAACGAGGACACGGGGCGCCCCAGCTCCGACCCGCCCCCCGCCCCCCAATGCTGAGCAGAGAGGCCAAGGACTGACTTGGTGCTGCTCATCCACAGAACCTAAATTTTCACAGCGACGCCCTCCTCCCCGTGTAATTGGAAACCGACCTTTCGGAGCTGTCTGTCCTCGGTTACTAGTCTAGAATCACACACACAAGGAAAAAAAGAAGGCGAGGAGGGGGAGGGCCGCACATGTGTGTGAAAGCCTGGCGGGGACGCATTCGGTCCAAGGACTTTCGCGGCGCCCTCCCCTTCGCTGCATCGGGCGGAGAAGTCGGCCTGCTGCTCGTCATACCTTCACTCCGCACTCTTCCACCCCGGGTTTCAGACACAGAAAAGCGGCTTATTTCCCCCAAATGGCCACTGAGCCCCTCAGCTCCTTCCAGCGTGTCCGTCCCCGCTGCCTGCCTGCCTGCCTCCAAGTTAACTGTGGCCAAGTCCTGGGGGGCCCCGTGGTCGGCATTCTCTCGTCCATCCCGCAGAAGCCGAGTTCCCCGATGTGGACCCGACCCCTCGCCCGCCTCCATCCCTCCCGGAGCCCGGGCTCTACCCTCCCACCCCCCGCTTAGCCCAGGGCCACTTCCCGGGAGGCCTCCGGGACCCGGCCGCAGGCCCCTCTCGCCGTGGCGGGCCGGACTCACGCCGACCTGTCGTCTACCCTCGGCTCTGCTCGCCGAGTCGGGAAGCGACCGACACCGAGTGGACCCGGCGCTCCCCGCGGCCCGGCCTCGCTCCACCGCTCACCGCCCGCCGGCCGCGGCCCTCACGCCCTCGCCTTTCTCGCTGCTCCGCTGGCCCAGCCCTCCGCCCCGATCGGGTGCCCGCCCGGCCTGTCCACCCGCGCGGCCTGGCCTGGGCCGGTCCCGGAGCGGTCCTTGGGCCTCAGCCTGCCCCTCCTTCTTCACCTGCTCCATAGCCCAGTCCGGAACCCGGTAGAATCGACTCCGTCGGCTCCGCGTTCCCAACCGCACGCGCCGCCTTCTGGAACCTACTAGAAGCTGCCGGGACCCCCGGATCCCGCCCCTTCCTCGTCTGCTCACTGGTCACGCTCCTCTAAGGGCTTTCTATGCTTCTTTACTATTGGTTTAAAGCCTAGCCCATCACCTCCGCTTCTCTTTCATTGGACAGCAGGGAGTAATCCCCTTGGCCCTGCCTCCAAGGCTCCCCGGGATTGGGCGCTCCCAAATAGGCCCCGCCCACCGTAGACTGCTCGATTGGAGGGCGGGTCAGAAATCTGCGACAGCGATTGGTTACTTGCTCCGCTAATCGTGGCCGCGCTGGCCGCGCCCATTGGTCCTGTTCTTTCTGGAAATTTCCACATTTCCCATTGGGCTGACAGACTTCATGACAGAAACGCCTTCAGAGGAAAAAAAAATTCAATTGGGCGGAGAGTTGCCAGCACTTTGCGCTGATAGGTTCTCACCGCTGCCCTTCTAAGGGAGCCCGTAGCGACAGCCCTCCTTTGCCGCGGTGGCTCCGGGAGCCGGCGGGCCGTGGGGGACGCCGGGCTTCCGGGCCGCTTCCCGCCTCCGGCTGCTGCGGTCCGGCCGATGACTCGCGCGTCCCCAGCGCAGAGAGCCCCAGTCTCTCGCCTGTGCTTCGGGCTTTCGGGGGTCCCAGTGGTGAGGGTGACCGTCAGGGGCAGCCCCTACCCGGAGCCCAGCTGTTCGGGTCTGAATGTTCAAAAAGACAGCGCGGCGGGAAAGGCTGGGCCGGGGGAGGACAGACCCGGCTCTCACGCCGGCGGGGCCGGTGGCGGCCGAGTCCGCTCCGTGGAACCTCGGGGGTAAAGGGTCGGTCATCTAGGGCCAGGGCTTCCTGTGCAGCGTGTAGACTTACTGGAAGGAGCCACCCCACCTCCATGGTTTGTACGTAAAGGGGCGAAGGAAACAGACCGCAGCGTGGAGGCGGGGGCGGCCCGGGAGCGCCCTAAGCCGCAGCCCACGTGCCAGAGGCAGAGCGGGCACCGAGGGAGCGACAGGAAGGGCTCGGAGCGGGAAAGATGGGCCTGCGGACTCTCACTGCTGCTTTTGCACCTGGGCCTGTGCGGAGTCCATGGAACAGAGGAGCCGCTGGGGCCTGGAGAGGGGCCCTGGGTCCGGCTCGATCGCCGTTCTCTTTGGCTAATGCCATCCCTTCCCAGGGTGGCACGTGTCCTCTATGCCAACAGCCTGACCGCCCGGCTGGCTTGACATTGCGGCCAAAGTCACCGCCGATTCACGTGGCTGCCACCTCCCTCCCTCGCTGAACCCTGGGCGGCTTCAGATGGGGCTCAGGGCCGTCTAACTTGGCAGGCCTGCGTTTCCCACCCTTTTTCCTGTCCGCCACCTTCAGCACAGACCTCCAGCCACACGGACCCCTCCTTCTCCGAACTAGGTGGGCTCCTGGGCTCCTGGGCGCTGGGCCCGCCTCCGAGCTGCTCCCTCTGCCGGTTCCCGGGCCACCAGCTCTGCCCGGTTTACCTCGTGTCTCTGGCTGAGATGGGCCGTCAAGGTTCCATGGCAACTGGCCCCAAACAAACACACTGATTTCTGTCCACCTGTTCCCGGCTTTCTCAGCACCCTGGGCCACCCACGTGTCCCCGTCACAGACCAGTGCCTGGGAGGTATCACCACAGTCTGTGAGGCCCAGAAGGGCCTTGGGTTTGTTTTCCTTTATCCTGGGTTCCAGCTGCATTGCAGTGTCTGGCACAGTGGCATTCATCAATCCATCAAACATCGAATGCCCTGTTATGTGTCAGGTGTAATTGTGGGCGTTACAGGAAGTGCAGTGAACAAAACGGACAGAAATCCGTTTTCATGGTGATTGTTAGTGAAGGAGACAAACCTAAAAGTTTATGTAGTGTACCTGCACAGGCGCAGTAGAGAAACATGTCGGGGACAGGGTGCCAGGAGCGCTGGGTGGGGGGCCAGGGCAAACCTCAGTGAGAAGCTAACGTTTGAGAAAAGACACAGGGAAGTGAGATGATGAGAAGTCTGGGGAAGAACTTGGCAGTCAGAGGGAACAGCCGTGCAGAGGTCCTGGGGTAGCAGCTGCCTTGGGGTGGCCAGAATGGAGGCAGCAGGGAAGAGGCAGGCAGAGCCAGGTCCTGCAGGTGGGAGGCCTTTGTGTTCACGGTGGGACATGCTGGCAGAGTCTGAGCAGAAGAGGAACACAATCCATTTCATTTCGTCAGCTCCCTGTAGCTGCTGTGCAGATGAAGCGGGCAAGGGGGAGGCTGGGAGAGCTGTGGTGGCGGCTGGGCCAGGGTGGGAGCAAAGGAGGGCTGAGAATTGTATTCAGATGCACTTTGCCAAGCCACCAGGACCTAGGGATGCATTGGAGGTAGAACGTGAAGGAAGGAGGAGACAAGGATGGCTCTAAGCCTTTGGCCTGCTCTCTCATTCTTCTGCTAAATTTGCCAACAAGACCTTTCCTTTCTTCTTGGCACTTTCTTCAGACCACACTCCTGCTAATCCCACTGCTGTTCCTTAGACCAGCCCTTCCTCTGTCTCTGGTGGCCTTTCCAAGCCTTCCATCATCTCCCCCACAGCCCGTCTCCAGGCTTCTTTCCTGTTCCTCTCTGTGTGACCTGGACACGTGTTTTTATATAGTCCTACTACGTGTGGCGCTCGGCGTGCAGGGGCTCAGCAGTAAAAAAGGCAGCCCACAGGCGCAACTTCTGCTTCCATGGCTCTTGTCCTCTCATGGGAGAGTCAGATGATAAACTCATCAGCTGTGTGACTTCAAGCAACCTACTTGACTTCTCTGTGCTTCAGTTTCTTTCATTTTAAAACGGGATGAGAAAGTTTCAATGTCAGATTAGTTGTGAGGATGAAACGATCTGGTATTTGTAAAGCAAGTGGGACAGTGCCTGATAACAGGGTAAGCACTATCCGCACTTGTTACAGAAAAATGAACGCACAGCCCGGCCGGTGTGGCTCAGTGGCTGAGCATCCACATATGAACCAGGAGGTCACGGTTCGGTTTTTGGTCGGGGCACATGCCCTGGTGTCAGGCTCAATCCTAGTAGGGGGCATGTAGGAGGCAGCCAATCAATGATTCTCACCATTGATGTTTCTATCTCCCTTTCCCCTTCCTCTCTGAAAAAAAAAAAAAAAAAAAAAAAATTATATATATATATATATATATATATATATATATATATATATATATAAATGCACCGATGAAGATAACTCTAGACTTATAAGGAAAGCAAACGGTAAGGGACAGAGAATAACCAGGGAGGCAGGAAAAGAAGGGGCCGCTAAAGGTGGGTGCATAGTGAAGGCCCCTGAGACCTGGGGGGAGGAGAAGCCAGCCAGGGACGGGGTGCCAGGAAGGGTAATGGAGGGTGCAGGGCTGAACAAGTGTGGAATTTTCAAGGGACCCAAAGATGGCTTTCCTACGCTCTGTGACCTTGTCCGTAAAGGGATAATGACCTGCCAGTGACTTCCCGACGTTACTTATGAGGATTAAACGAAATAATCCAAACTCAAGTCCTGTCAGACCCGACACTTATAAAAATGTGAGCCTTCTTCCAGAAAAGAAAAATGCCAATTAAAACACGAGGTATGGCGCTGCAGAAGGGATGCAGACGGGAGACCCTAAAGCTTAAGCTGAATCAGTGTCATGGTAAAGCCACGTCTGAACAGTGAGAAATGTTCGCTCTCATCATTCCCACCGACTGGCTTCTCCAGGTTGCTGGCGAACTCGCAGCCCCTGGGTGGGCAGGGGGCAGGGTCCCCTTCCCCGGCTCCCCGGACACCAGCAGCAGCTCCACAGAAGGCGTCCTGGGCGTCACGGTTCAGGTGATTCATGCTGCTATTCCAGTGCCGCCGCTCTCACGGCGGGGAGCAAGGTGGCCAGGGCAGTCTTTGTCCACGCGGGCATCCTGGGCGAAGGACAGACCGCAGGGCTCCACGCGTGCGGCCAAGTTCTCTGCAGAGCAAACTTCCCGTGGTAAAGTTCTCCCAAGATCAGGAGAAATAAAACATCTGGACCTCAGGGAGCTGTGCGTGGGGTTAAGGCGTGGAGGTGAGGGGAGGCTTGCAGCTCTGACTTCTGGGGTCTGGAACACATGGAATTTTTGTCTTTACAGGAACTTTCACTATTGGAGTGGGAATTTGAGGGCAAAGTTCCCTTCCCATTCTGAGAAATTCCTAAAGAATATCTCATTTCCCATTTAACTGAATGATTCTAACTTCCAGCTCTCCCGCTAAGATAGCATGGGAGCCCTGACTAGCAGGGAAAACGTGTGGGAAATGAAGTGCCATAGAGTTCTGCTCAATTCGGCGAACTTCTATGGAGAGCCAGGCACCGTGCCAGATGCTTCAAGGAATAAAACGGTGTAATTATTATCCAATAAATTATTCAGACAGCCCCAGAGCCCAGCCTGGGACCTCGCCATCCACCCTGCCTCCCGGAGTGACCTCAGGCAGCCTCGTGGCTATAAATACCGTCTCGATGACTCCCACACTTCCATCTTCCGCTCAGATCTTGCACCCAAGTTCCAGGCTGCCCCCCAGATGCCTCCTCGCTGCCTCACCGGGAAGGCCAATGGACTTCCCAATGTGTTCAAATCAGAGCTCCTGACATTCTCCCCCATGTTGCTCCTCCCTTGACGCCCCTCTCATCAGTGGCCTCACCATTCTTGGACGCGTTCAGGCTGGAAACTGGAGGCGTCCTTGACTCCTGTCTGTCACAGCCACGTTCAGTTCATCAGCAAACACTGCCAGCTGGACACAGACCCCTTCGCAGCTCCCCAGCTATCTCCTAGCTGTGACTGGGAACGGGAGGGAGTGTTGGCTCCCTGAGTTGGTGGTGGCGGGGGGAGGGGCGGGGGGAGGCGGTCAGAGTCCGAGGGAATCCGCAGCCTGGCTCTCAGGCCTATCCTGAGATGCGAGTTGGGATGGAGGATGAGAGGAGAGCTGCTGTACGCAGGTGACCACCGAGTTGAGCCCAGTGAGGACACTGACGACAACCATGATAGACAGTGGACCAGTGCTCCTGCCAAGGTTAACGGCATCACACACTCTTGCCCCCTGGACAGAGAAGGGGCCCCAGTCATAACTGAGATAAAATATCCTGACTGCTGGGTAGGATGGGCGCTTGGGGTCAGAATGAGTGGGTCCCAAGGCAGTGGTTCTCAACCAGGGGTGACTTTGCCCACAGGGGACACTTTGCAATGTCCAGAGACTTTTTTTGGTCATAACTTGGATGGTGGGTGGGCTACCGAGGCCAGGGATGCTGCTGAACAGCCTGGAATGTGCCAGATGGCTCCCCAAATCATTTGGCTCCGACCATAAACAGAACTGAGGCTGGGAAATGTTACATGTATTTCTTGCACACCTGAGCTTGGTTGAGGCTTGAGACCGAAACCTGCTACATGACAAGCAGGTTCAATCTGACCGCAGTGCAGCCCGGTTCAGTGGGTGAGCGTCGACCTATGAACCAGGAGGTCACGGTTCGATTCTCAGTCAGGACACATACCAGGTTGTGGGCTCCATCCCCAGTGTGGGCTGGTGCAGGAGGCAGCCAGTCGGTGATTCTCTCTCATCATGGATGTTTCTATCTCTCCCTCTCCCTTCCTCTCTGAAATCAATAAAAATATATATATAAATGACCACAGTGCATAGGATGACACCCAGTACCAGGAGAAGGCTGTCAGGGGCACTGCAGGAGATGGAAGATGGTGCAAATTCGGTGACACCCCACCCACTGAAAGGTGTGTGTGGTGGGGGAGTTTGTCCCCTCCCCTTGAATTTGGTGGGCCCTGGGACTACGCTGACCAAAAGAACACAGGGGTAGTGTTACTGTGCCCGTTTCCAAGCCTTATAACACTGGCAGCGCACACTTCCCATCTTTGGAGCCCGGGGTTGCCATGTAAGAAGTCTGACTGTCTCGAGGTAGCCACGGTTCAAGGAAGCCCAAGCTGCCACGTGGACAGCCCAGCTGTTCCCCATCCCAGCCCAGGTGTGTGAGGGAAGCTGTCTTGGACCCTCCAGCCCCACCCAGTCGCCACTGAGCCACCGGAGCTGAGGCCGTATGGAGCGGAAGAATCTAGCAGCTCTTCGCTGAGCCTTTTCCTGCTCTTTGGACTCATTCTCTGGGCAGCTCTCAGCGCCGCCTGAACTGACTTGCACTTGTTCACTTGTTGACCAGGTGTCTCCCAGGTTAGACTCTGGGCAGAGCCTACGATTTGTTCACCGCCATGTGCAGTCCCTCTGCCCTGTGTGGTCTGTGACTCTAATTAGAGGGTGTGAGTGGTAGGCTGCCTGCAGTGAGGGCTGCAGTAATTCCTCCTGCCCCTCGATGCCCACCCTTTGCAAGGGGACTGGCTGCGCCTCCCATTAAGAGGTGGAGTCTATATCTCTCTCCAGTCCCTCAAATATAGGCTGGCCTTGCAACCCGCATTGACCAACAGGATGTGATGGCTGTAACATAGTGTGACCTTAGAGCAGCAGTTCTCAACCTGTGGGTCGCGACCCCTTTGGCGGTCGAACGACCCTTTCCCAGGGGTCGCCTAAGATCATCCTGCATATAAGATATTTACATGACGATTCATAACAGTAGCAACATTACAGTTATGAAGTAGCAACGAAAATAATTTTATGGTTGGGTCACAACATGAGGAACTGTATTTAAAGGGCCAGAAGGCTGAGAACCACTGCCTTAGAGTTAGGCCTCAAGGGCATTGCAGCCTCTGGTGTCACCCTCCTGGAGCAGGGCCATGGAGATGCCCAGTCTAGCCCACTGGAGGGTAAGAGACCACATAGAGCGGGCCTGGGGGGCCTTGCTGACACCAGCATCAGCTGCCAGTCAGTGAGTGAGGCCATCCTGGGCCCCCAGTCCCAGCTGGGTGGTCAGATGACGGCAATCCTGGGAGTGATGCAGGCAAGACCAGCAGATGAACCTTCCAGCGTATCCCAGCCCAGCTGCTGACTCAGCATCCTGGTTGGAACTTTAAGCCAGTAACTTTTCAGTTTAATACATAGCAATAGATAACTTAAACAATATAAAAGGACCCACGTTCAGCCCTGGCCAGTGTTCTCAGTGGTTAGAGTGTCGATCCGTGCACTGGAAGGGTCTCGGGTTCGATTCCCGGGCAAGGGCATGTACCTGGGTTGCAGGTTCAGCCAGGGGCTCTGGTGGGGCACCTGTAGGAGGCAACCAATCAATGTGTCTCTCTCACATGATGTTTCTCTCTCCCCCACAGCCCCCTTCCACTCTCTCTAAAAATCAATGGGAAAAATATTCTCGGATGAGGATTAACAAAAATAAAAAAATAATAAAAGGACCCAAGTTCATAAACAGCATTAAAAGAACTGATTTACCATATTTATAAGTTTAATCTATTAGGGGATAAGAATTGTTTAACTGATTAGAAAAAAATAGACTTAGCTTGGGAGGGCACCCTCAGTCCTCCACCCACTCTCTATTTGTAAAGGAAAAAAAGAACAAAAAAGAAAAAAATGTTTATTAGATGTGTCTCTTCTGTTAAGATTTAAAAATATATATATTTTTTATTGATTTCAGAGAGGAAGGGAGAGGAGAGAGAGATAGAAACATCAATGATGAGAGAGAATCATTGATGGGCTGCCTCCTGCATGACCCCTACTGGGTATCAAGCCCACAACCCAGGCACGTGCCCTTGACCAGAATTGAACCTGAGACCCTTCAGTCCGCAGGACGATGCTCTATCCACTGACCCAAACCGGCTAGGGCTTTTCTGTTAAGATTTTGAGGTGTTTGAGAGGAATAGCTATTTCAACTCTGTACAATGTAGTTTAAATCTATTAGGGAATTTAATTACCTAAGTTTGTAATTGGCATTCATTTTTAGAATTTAATCTATTGAACCTTTGAGTTAATTAAATATTTATCAAAGAATAAATGGAAGTAGTTGTTCTTATTTTTATACAAACATTAGATTTATAAATAGAAGACTAGATTTGCAAGTTGTATTTGTATGTGTAAGAAAAACTAGTTCTTTTCTTAATTTATAAGTTTAATAAACAGTAGTAATTTTAACAGAAGCAACAGTAAGTAGCTTTTCTCTGCACAAAAGTACCTCCCTCTCCAATATTAAAATTCCTCAACTGCCAATGCCTGGTGCTACATTCCCACTGGAAGATTTGGGGTGCCACACACTTCCATGCCTGTGTTTCTGTGGGTCCCTTGGCCTGAAATAACACCTACCTTCCACACCAGTGGTTCTCAACCTTCCTAATGCCTTGACCCTTTAATACAGTTCCTCATGTTGTGGGGACCCTCAAACATAAAATTATTTTCGTTGCTACTTCATAACTGTAATTTTGCTACTATTATGAATCGTAATGTAAATATCTGATATGCAGGATGTCTTTTCATTGTTACAAATTGAACATAATTAAAGCATAGTGATTAATCACAAAAACAGTATGTAATTATATATGTGCTTTCCGATGGTCTTAGGTGACCCCTGTGAAAGGTCGTTTGACCCCCAAAGGGTCGCAACCCACAGGTTGAGAACTGCTGCTCCACACACACCTTTGGTGCCCGGCAAAATTTTACCTTTTCCATAAGGTCCAGCTGAAACTCTCTGAGGCGAGGTCCAGTGGGAATCATGCTTCCATCCACATCCACGCAGGTGTGTGGCCAGGCCTCTCAACTGAAATCACAAACCAAGTCCTAATCCATGGCTTGCTTTTTAATTTTACTTAATTTTCTGTGGTCGTTAATCTTCACCCGAGGATATTTTTTTTCATTGATTTTTTAGAGAGTGAAAGGGAGAAGGAGAGACATAGAGAGAGAAACATCGATGTGCGAGAGATATATATTAATTGGTTGCCTCTGCATGTGCTCTGGGACCAGGGCCGAGGATGAAGCCTGAAACCGATGGTATGTGCCCTTCACTGGAATCGAACCCGGGACCCTTCAGTCCTCAGGCCAATCCTCTATCCACTGAGCCAAACTGGCTAGGGCTATTTGATTTAATTTTTAAAATTGATTTTAGAGAGAGAGGAGAAGGGAGAGAGACATTGATTTGTTGTTCCACTTATTCATCGGTTGATTCTTGATGTGCCCTGAGCAGAGTTCAAACCCATAACCTTGGCATATCGGGATGACTGCAAAGAGAAGTGAAGGCTGCAGGTGGAACTCGGCAGACTTTCAATAGGAAGATTGTCATGGGTTATCCCGGTGGGCCCCAGGTAGTCCTGGAAAATGAACCAGGTAAGCAAAAGTGAGGCAGAGGGAAAGGCCGCCCTGGGAGAATGGCCAGAGGCGCACCGCCGCCTGACAGGCCGAGGAATGTGGGTGGTCTCTGGAAGCTGGGAAAGGCAACTTCCCAGGAAGGAACACAGTCCTGCTGACACCTTGATGTCAGCCCAGGGAGACCCATGTCAGGCTTCTATCCTACAGAATTTTAAGATCACATTGCGTTGTTTAAGCTACTCAATATGCAATAATTAGTTACGGCAGCAACAGAAAACTAATGCAGGGTCACCCACATCATTTACCGAATCAGTGACATCTGTGCAACGCTTTCCAGACCACAGAGGGGAACCAAAAAACCCTGGACGGAAGCCTGGGCTCAACCCTCACAGGCTGTGCTGACCTGGGGTCGGACTTGGCTGCCTGTCTGTGCCGTGGGGCAGAGCTGCCTCCCGGGCAGTGGGAGCACATGACGGGTTAGTGGAGGTGGAGCGAATGGACAGCGAGCTAGTGCCCTTACACGGCTGCTGTACCGGGTGCAGGTGGCAAGGACCTTCTTGCACTGCTGAGTTCTTAGAGAAATGGCAAGTGGAGAGGTGACCTTGGGCACGGAGGCCTGAGTACCACATCCTGAACTCATCTCACTGGCCTTTCTGGGAGAGGGCACAGGCCTTGCTGGTGGTCCTGGAATGTTGCAGGCCATTGGACCTTCCTTCCTGGCCTCTGACTTAAAAAAAAAAAAAAATTAATTAATTAATTTAAATCCTCACCTGAGGATATTTTTCCACTGATTTTTAGAGAGAGTGGAAGAGCGAGGGAAAGACAGAGAGAAATATCGATGTGAGAGAAACACATCAATTGGTTGCCTCCTGCATGCACCCTGATGAGAATCAAACCGGGACTCTTCCTCCCGCAGGCTGACTCTCTGTCCACTGCGCCACGCAGGCCCCTGACTTTTGATCTCCCCTCTCTGCCCTCACTCCCAAGGCCAATCACGCCCTCCTCCTGCTGGCATGTGTGCCCCTGACCCAGCCCTGTCCAGGGTCATTGCCACACTCAGCGTAGGAGGCCTAAGCATCGGGGCAGGTCTGCAACTAGCCCAACCTGAATGCTGTGTTTATGTTACACCTCCGGAAGTTGCAAGGGGCCAGTGTACCCCAGGGGGGCAAAGCTGGAACTGGTTGTAAAAATATTCATGATTATATTTACCAAATAGTATTAGTATAGAAAGACATAAAAGTATGTTAAAAATCCATCTTTTATAGTCTTTGTAAAATACTCGGAAAAATATATATTTAAAAAATCACCCCAATTCTTCCCCAGAAAACGTCACTTGGCCCTCAAGTTTCCGACCTTCAAATCCCACTCTGTGCCCCTGCCTCCCGGCTGCTCTAGATTCCGTCCCGGCCGCTCATCTGCCCGCCCCGGGGCGGAGAGGAGGCGGCACGTCTGCACGGGGAAAGTCGCCGAACCGGAACCGGTACCTGTTCGCGTCAGTTGTCACCTCCCCAAGGGCAGCCCGACCGGGCCTCCCGAAGACTGGGTGCGGGATGGGGTGCGGGGCGGGACCCAGGTGACCCGCGGGGAGACCAGCCGGGGCCCTCGGCAGCAAAACGTTCCGCATGGCGGGGCCATGCCCAGCTCTCGGAGTTCGGGCAGAGTTGGGTCGGAGCCGCGTGGAGGGCCGAGGGCGGGAGTCTCCTCCGCCGAGCCAGCCCCGAGGGAGGGGCGGGCGGCCGCGGGACCGCCCAGACTCAGAGCCTAACTGAGGGCGGGGCGCCGGGAGGGGCGGGGCGCCGGGAGGGGGCGGGGCCGGGGCGGGCGCGCACGTGTGTAGACGAGGGCGGGGCCTTATCCGGCAGCGGAACTACAAGTCCCAGGGTGCTCAGCGGTTCGGCTGGTTCCTGGCCGCGCGTCCCGCGGACTGGGTGCAGGTCGCCGCGTGCTGGCAGCGCCACCCGGTTCCGGAGTAAATAAGGGGGAGTCTCCCCCGAGCACCGTAATCGGAGTCCCAGTGGGCGGGGAGCCGCGCGCGCCGCCCGCTCATGTCTCTGCGGAGCCGAGTGTCCGGCCGCCTGGCTCAGCTGCGCGCCGCGGGGCAGCTCTTCCGCGCCCCGCGCCCCTGGCCAGGCCCCTCGGCGGGGGCCACGCGGACCCGCAGCAGTGCCTACGGCCCCCGCGCGCGGACCCCGGCGGGAGTTGGGGCTTGGGGGGCGGCGGCGGTGGGGCGGAGAGCCGGGGTGCGCACTTGGGCGCCCCTGGCCATGGCGGCGAAGGTGGACCTGAACACCTCCACCGACTGGAAGGAGGCAAAATGTAAGTGTGAGCAGAGGGGACGCGGGCGAGGGCCGCCCCACGTGGGCTTCCGCGGTTGGACGGCACCCCACCAGCAGCTCTTCCTCCTGAGACCGGTGGAAGTTGAGGCCCCCTATACCCTGGTCAGGACTCCCCCGTTCACAGCCACGCCTCCCCCCACCCCCCGCGTTCCCAGCCCCATAAACCAGTTCACCCCCACCGGGTCCAGGTCCCCTGTCAGGAGCGGAGTGAAGAAGGTGGCCGTACCCCACTGGAATGGGTCACAGGGCACCCCCAGAGGTCCCCCAGAGATCCTCCAGGACCTACCACCTTGCTCCGTTGTGCAGGAGGGAAACTGAGGCCCAGTGCTTGAGCGGAATAGCCCAAGGTCACTTGGGAGCTGGTGGCAGAGCTGACCTCAGGTTCCCGATCTCGCCGTGTTTTGCATAGTGTGGCTCCTCAGGTGGCGGCGTGTTGGGCACAGTGGCAGGGAATGGGCTGAGGGGATCGCCCTCCGGCTGGTGTCCCACCTGGTGGGATCAGATAACCCCAAGGAGTGGCTTCTCTGGGCAGGCCTGTCCCCCCTCCACCTCCTCCCCTGTCAGGCCTGCCTCTCTGGGCACGTGGTCTGGTGCCCTTTCGCCCTCATCCCTGGCCTCCTGCCACTTGTTAACAGTCCCTGCCCCATTCCTGGGGACACAGGGCAGAGATGGGGCATTGTGTCTGTGAGGACAGTGACATCACCCCCACAGGACGGGCAGGACTCCCAGAGGTGGACTCTGCCCCCGCCCCCCTCCCGCACAGAGCCAGGAAGGGAGGCTGCCTGACCTGCAGAGCCCCAAATAGCCCAGATGCCAGTGCCAGCTGCCCCTGCCCTTCAGGGTCTGCTCCCTGGGCCCTGGTGGCCATTGCCCGCTGGATCCCCTTTCAAAAGGGCAGGGAACGCAGCTCATTGGCTGCGCCCGCCCGTGGAGGGGCTTTGGCCAATGAGGCTGAGAAGGCAGGCCTTGGGCGGCCACGGTTGAGGGTGTAGGGAGGCCGTCCTCTCCCGATTGGAGGTAGAGTTTGAGATGATTTACCCCCATCAGGAATCGCTTGGCCTGCGCCGGGATCTAAAAGCGCCCGCAGAAAGCACTTGACTGATCTGTGAGCACAACGAGTGCTTCTATCTATGCCCTCAGCGCTGGCCCCAGAACACCGATCAGGGCAGGGAGCAGGGGGCTGGCAAAGTCCCCCGGCAGGGGACTGTCCCACAGGGAGCCTGGCTTCTCTGTCAGGGGACAGTAACGGTAACCCAGGATGGTTGGACGGAGCTAGGGAGGCCAGGGGCCCAGGCACCAGGCTCAGATCTGCCTCAGTTTTTAGGATCCAGCTCCCTACCACCACCCATTCCTTGGTGCCCCTAGGGATTCCCGGGCCCCTGCGGCGTCTCTGTCCCTCTGCTGGGATGTCCACTCCTTCAGTCAGGCCACTTTTACTGAGTGCTCTATGTGCAGCACTGTTTGGTGCTGGGGATGGAGCCACGAGTGACACAGGGAGGGCCCTGTCCTCACGGAGCTTCTACTTTGGGGGGAGGAAACTGGTAGAGAATTTGGTCATCCAATGGGACAGTGCCAGGTAAAGGTCAGAAACTAGGGCAGATGGGGCTGCCTGAGCTCCAGTGCCCTGTCTGGGGCTTGGGAGGAGGGCAGTTGGTCCCAGGTACCCCAGCACCAGGTGTCAAGTCCCCAGCAGGTGTCAGATGGCAGCACAGAGACCTCCATGTGTTTTAGTTACCTATTACTGCGTAACCGGTGAGTGGCTTCAACAGCAAGCATCTCCCGCTCTGATGGTCAGGGCGTGGGAGTGGCTTAGCTGGGTGGTTCTGGCTCAGGGTTCTCGGGAGGCCTGGCGACTTGCTGAGGCCTGGAGTGAGCCGTTCCCAGGTGGCTCACTCACAGGAAATGGCTGTTGGCCAGAGGCCTCAGTTCTTCACCAGGGGCCTCCACAGAGCTGCTTGAGTGTCCCTACAACATGGCAGCCGGCTTCCCCAGAGCAGGTGATCCAAGATGGGGAGCGAGCGGAGACCCAGCCGGAAGCCAGAAGCCACAGTGCCTCCTCGTGACCTGGTTTTCCAAGTCGAGCAGCGTGTCTTCTGCCTTATCCCAGGGCGTAGGTCAAGTCATGGAGTCCAGCCCACATTCCAAGGGAGGGAAATTAGGGTCCCCCTTTGGAAGGGAAGAGGATCAAAAATTAGGGGCCTGTGTTTAAGACCACCACACTGGGGGTGCTGCCTCAGCTGGACCTGCCTCTGGTTGGGGTCCCAGCTTTGGTCCTTGAAGACCCCACGGGGCAGAGCTGCAGTGACGTAGACCAAGTACACAGACCTTCAGTGTACCGTCAGCGCCTGCATACTCGTATCCAGCCGTGCCCCTCAGGCTGATCGATAGGTAGAACATTGCCATCACCCCAGAAGGTTCCTTTGAGTCCCTTTCCAATCAATACCCGTTAAAGCTAGTTACTTTTCTATCGGTTCGTTTAGTCCAGCGGTTCTCAACCTGTGGGTCGCCACCCTTTTGGTGGTCGAACGACCCTTTCACAGGGGTCGCCTAAGACCATCGGAAAACACATATATAATTACATTGTTTTGTGATTAATCACTATGCTTTAATTATGTTCAATTTGTAACAATGAAATTGGGGGTCACCACAACATAAGGAACTGTATGAAAGGGTCGCGGCATAAGGAAGGTTGAGAACCACTGGTTTAGTCTCTTGACCTTCATATGCACAGAGGCATACAGTGTGCCAGCGCCTTTTACTTCATATCTGCGATTCGTCCTCATTAGTGGTGTGTCAGCAGTTGGCTCTCTTTTCACGGCTGTGTGATGCCCCGTGGTGTGGATGTCCCGTCCTCCTGTTGACGGGCATGTGGGTTGCCAGTGTTGGGAATGAAGCTGTGCTGAGTATTCTCGTACATGTCTTTGACGGACATGTGTTCTCCCTTCTCTTGGGGACATACCTACACAGGCCTCCAAATGCCCATCTGTGCCTGAGATGGTCCTCTCTTAAAGACTGGTGCACAGCCCTGGGCAGTGTGGCTCAGTTGGTTGGGCATCGTCCTGTGTACCAAAAGGTTGCCCAGGGCGCATGCCTGGGTTGCGGATCGATCCCCTGTAGGTGGCGTGCAGGAGGCAGCCAATCAATGTTTTGCTCTCATATCAATGTTTCTTTCCTCCCTTCCTTTCTCTCTAAAAGTCAATAAACTATTTTCTTTTTAAAAAAAAGCAGTTAAAAAAGCCTGGTGCATAGTAACCAAACTCACAAGATACTGACGTATAGGTCAGAAGGTTGATGTATGGCTCAAGGTGGGGAATTCTGGCAGGAGGTGTGGAAACCCAGGTGCCTGGAAGGAGCCCCCTGTCCCTGTGGGGAAGCATGTGGAAGCCACATCCTAGTCTTAGGTTCGCTCAGCAGCCTACGTTCTCTAACTGGGGAGCTGGTGGGGTGATTTTGGAAGCCGAGCCCTCTGCCCGGGGCCGGCTGGGCAAGCTTCCCCTGGGGGACCGACCCACCAAGGAGCCCCGTCCCTGGCTTGTTCCGGGTCGCAGTCTGCGTGCAGGGTGCCCAGCCGCACGCATGGCCCAGTGTGTCCTCTGGACAGGTGGCCGGTTCTGCCTCGCTCTGGGGATTCCTCTTCTCTACCCTCAAGGGAACTGCCCGCTTCCAGGGCCCATTCTCCCTCTAGGTAAGTGAGGAGCATCGGCTGGGTCTTCCTGAGGGGGAGACGGTCAGTCTTTTGGGGAGACCTCTGCAGTATCTGACGACATTGGCCAGGTTACTCTCTCTAAATGAATCCCCTCCTGATCCCCTCAGGTGGTGCCTGTTTCTCGGAAAATTGTAGGAACAGTTGTGCTGGGAGGCAGTTGGGTGTGAAGGGACTCAAGGTCAGGCACCGAGGGCATCTGGGGACTGTCACCACGGGAGGGCCCAGCCTCCAGGAGAGGGGCCTCCGGACTGCAGTGGGGGCAGAGCTGTGTGCGAAAGAGAACGGGCGTTGGTGACATCAGACCTGCGCCACCCCAGCACCTGCTCCCATGCTTCCCGAGCCTCAGTTTCCTCATCTGTGAAATAGGACCAACAACACCTGACTTGCAGGTTTTGTAGGCTGCACTGGGATGACATCAAAACCATGTACACACAGCTGCCCACATGGTGCACGGAGGGTCCCCAGTCCCCCCCCCCTCCCCCGGGGCTTGTCTCCTCTCTGCTGTGCTCTGGCCACGGAGACGCTGAGCTTGAGTACACCTGTCCCTGCTGTGCAGTCAGACGCTGGAGCTTGACCCGCACGTCCTGAGTCCTGTTTCCTCTCCCCGGGGGCTCAAGAAAGCACTCGTGTTCCAGCCTGTGTGCGCTGGGCGGGGCGAGTGCTTGGTCCCACCTGTGGCACCACGTCCAGAGTGGATGG